TATATAAAAGGTCATCACCATAACCAAGGTCATCTAGGTTTTCTATGTTATCCTCTACAAGTTTTGCATTTTACATTTGGCTCTATGATCCATTTTGAGTTAATTTTTGTGAAGGGTATAAGGTGTGTGTCTTGATTCATTTTTAGCATGAGGATGCTCAGGTGTTCCAGCACTATTTGTTGAAAAGACTATCTTTTTCTCCATTATATTGTCTTTCCTCTTTTGTCACAGATCAGTTGACTGTACTTACGTGGGTCTATTTCTGGGCTCTGTGTTCTTTTGCTAATAATACATTCTCTTGGTTACTGTCACTTTATAGAAAATCTTAAAGTTGGATAGTGTCGGTTCTTGGACTTTGTTCTTCTCCCTCCATATTGAGTTGGGTATTCCGAGTCATTATACTCTCCATATAAACTTTTGGATCAGTTTGTTGATATCCACAAAATATCTTGCTGGGATTTTGATTGGGATTTTGTTGAATCACAGGTCAAGTTGGGAAGTACTGACATCTTGACAATATTGAGTCTTCGTACCCATGGACATGGAATATCTCCATTTATTTAGTTCTTTTTTTATTTCATTCATCAGAGTTTTGTAGTTTTCCTCGTATAGATCTTGTATATATTTTGTTAGCTGCATGTCTAAGTATTTCATTTTTGGAGAGTGCTCAAGTAATGTGTTTTTAACTTCAAATTCCACTTGTTCGTTGCTAGAAATAGGAAAGTGATTGATTTTTGTTTATTAACCTTGTATCCTGCATCCTTGCTATCATCACTTTTTAGTTTCGGAGGGTTTTTTTTTTTTTTTTTGGTCAATCTTTTGGATTTTCTACATAAATTATCATGTCATCTATGAACAAACACAGTTTTATTTCTTCCTTCTCAATCTCTATACCTTTCATTTCCTTTTCTTGTTTAATTGCATTAGCTAGGACTTCCAGTAAGATGCTGCAAGAGCAGTTAAAAGGGGACATTGTTGCTTTGCTCTTGATCTTAGTGGCAAAGTTTCAAGTTTCTTACCATTAAGTATGTTAGCTGAAGAGTTTTTCTAGCTATTCTTTTTCAAGTTGAGGAAGTTCCCCTCTATTCTTGCTTTGCTGAGAGTTTTTCTTAGAAATTGGTATTGGGTTTTGTCACATGCTTTTCTACATCTATTGATTTGATCCTGTGGTTTTTCTTTGTGATGGATTGCATTAATTGATTTTCAAATGCTGAACAAGCCTTGCATACTTAGGATAAATCACACTTGGTCATGATGTATAATCCTTTTTATACATTGTTAGATTTGACTTGCTAATATTTTGTTGAGGATTTTGCATCTATGTTCGCGAGAGACATTGCTCTGTAATTTTTTCTTCTTGTAATGCCTTTGTCAATTTTAGTATTAGGGTAATGCTGGCTTCAAAGAATGAGTTAGAAAGTGTCTCCTTTGCTTCTATCTTCTGAAAGAGATTGTAGGGAATTGGTAGAATTTCTTCCTTCCATATTTGGTAGAATTTACCAGTGAACCCATCTTAACTATTGTCTATTTCTTCTTGTGTGAGTTTTAGCAGATTGTGTCTTCCAAGGAATTGGTTCATTTCTTCTAGGTTATCAAATTTGTGGGCATAGAGTTTTTCATAGTATTCCTTTATTATCCTTTTAATGTCCATGGGATCACTAATGATTTCTCTTCTTTCATTTCTGATATGTCCTCTCTCTTGTTTTCTTAGCCTAGTTAGAGGCTTATCTATTTTATTATCTTTTTAAACCACCAAATTTTGTTTTGTTGATTTTCTCTATTGATTTCCTGTTTTAAATTTCATTGATTTCTGCTTTAATATTTATTTCTTTTCTTCTGCCTGATTTGGATTTAATTTGCACTTCTTTTTCCAGTTTTCTAAGTTAGAAGCTTAGATAATTGAGTATAGATTTTTCTTCCTTTCTAACATGTTCATTCAATGCTATAAATTTCTGTCTAAGAACTTCTTTTGTTGCATGCTGCACATTTTGGTAAGTTGCATTCTTATGTTTATTTAGTTCAAAGTAGTTTTTTTATTTCTGTTGAGATTTCCTCTTTGACATATATGTTATTTAAAAATATAATGTTTAATCTCTAAGTATTCTGGGATTTTTCCAGCTACCTTTCTGTTGTTGATTTCTAGTTTAATTCTGTTGTGGTCTGAGCAGACATTATGTGATTCCTATTCTTTTAAATTTGTTAGGGTGTTCTATGGCCCGGAATGTGATCTACCTTGGTGAATGTTCCATGTGAGGTTGAGAAGAATGTGTGTTCTGTTGCTATTGGATGAAGTAGTCTATAGATGTCAGTTATATCCAATTGTTTAATGGTGCTGTTGAGTTCAACTCTGTTCTTACTGATTTTCTATCTACTGAATCCATCCATTTATGATGGAAGGGTATTAAAGTCTCCAACTAGAATAGCAGATTTATTTATTGCAGTTTCTCGTCGCAGTTCTGTCAGGTTTTGCGTTATGTAGTTTGTGTGTACATGCACCTCTGTTGTTAGGTGCATGCACATTAAGAATTGCATGTTGTCTTGGAGTATTGACCTCTTTATAATTATGGAGTGCTCCTCTTTATCCCTAATAACTTTCTTGCTCTGAAATCAGCTCTGTCTGAAATTAATATAGGTACTCTCACTTTCTGTTGATTACTGTTAGCATGTTCTAATTTTCTCCATGCTTTTCCCTTTTTTTTTTCTTTTTTTGTAGGAAGATTAGCCCTGAGCTAACATCCATGCCCATCTTCCTCTACTTTATAGTGGGACACCTGCCATAGCGTGGCTTGATAAGCAGTGTGTAGGTCCATGCCTGGGATCTGAACTGGTGAACCCCAGGCTGCCAAATCAGAGCATGTGAACTTAACCACTATGCCACTGGACTGGCCCTGCCAAACTTTTACTTTTAATCAATGTGTGACTTTATATTTAAAGTTAGTTTCTTGTAGACAACATATAGTTGGGTCTTATTTGTTGATCCACTCTGAAAATCTCTGTATTTTTTTTTTTTAAGATTTTTTTCCTTTTTCTCCCAAAGCCCCCTAGTACATAGTTGTGTATTTTTAGTTGTGGGTCCTTCTAGTTGTGGCATGTGGCACGGCGCCTCAGCATGGCTTGATGAGCGGTGCCATGTCCACGCCCAGGATTTGAACTGGTGAAACCCTGGGCCACCGAAGCGGAGCGCGTGAACTCAACCACTTGGCCACGGGGTCGGCCCTGAAAATCTCTGTATTTTAGTTGGTGTTTATACCATTGAAATTTAAAGTGATTGCTGATATAGTTTAGTTAATATCTATCAGATTTTCTACTGTTTTCTATTTGTTGCCCTTATTCTTTGTTCCTATTTTTGTCTTCCAGACTTTTTTTCCCTTTTGTGGCTTTAATTGAGCATTTTATATAATTTTGTTTTTTTCTCCTTTCTTAGCATATCAATTATACTTCTTCTTCTTCTTTTTTTTTTTTTTAGTGGTTGCCTTAGAATTTGCAACATATGTTTACAACTAATCCCGGTCTCCTTTAAACACTACACCACTGCATGGTAGTGTCAGTATCTTATAATAATAAAATATTTCTAATTCCTCCCTGTTGTTCCTTGTATCATTGCTGTCATTCATTTCATTTATACATAAGCATATATAAGCATATTTATATACAAAGTATACATAATCAAATATATTGTTGCTATTGTTTTTTGAACCAGCTGTAATCTATTAGATCAATTAAGAATAGGAAAAATAAAAGTTTTTCCTTTACCTTTACTTTTTCATTCTCTGATGCTCTTCCTTTCTTTATGTAGATCTGAGTTTCTGACATATCATTTTTCTTCTCTCTGATGAACTTCTTTTTTTTTTTTTTAAAGATTTTATTTCTTTATTTTTTTTTTCCTTTTTCTCCCCAAAGCCCCCCAGTACATAGTTGTATATTCTTCGTTGTGGGTCCTTCTAGTTGTGGCATGTGGGACGCTGCCTCAGCGTGGTCTGACGAGCAGTGCCATGTCCGCGCCCAGGATTCGAACCAACGAAACACTGGGCCACCTGCAGCGGAGCGCGCGAACTTAACCACTCGGCCACGGGGCCAGCCCCATCTGATGAACTTCTTTTAACATTTCTTGCAAGGTAGGTCTACTGGCAAAAAATTCTCTCAATTTTTGTTTGTCTGAGATTATCTTTATTTCTCCTTTACTTTTGTAGGATAATTTAGCAGGGTACTGAATTCTAGGTTGATGGATTCTTTTCTCTCAACACTTTAAATATTTCACTCCACTCTTCGTGTGTGTGTGGTTTCTGAGTAGTCAGATGTAATTCTTATCTTTTCTCCTCAATTGATAATGCAATTTTTTACTCTGGCTTCTTTCAAGTTTTTTTCTTTATCTTAGATTTTACGCAGTTTGAATATTAAATACCCAGGTAAATTTTTCTTTTTTCTTTCTTTTTGCATTTATCCTGCTTGGTGTTCTCTGAACTTCCTGGATCTGTGGTTTGGTGTCTGACATTAATTTGGGGGAACTTATCAGTCATTATTGCCTCAAATATTTCTTTGGTTTCTTTCTCTCTTCTTTTTCTGGTATTCACATTATGGGTATATTACACCTTTTGTAGTTGTTCCACAATTCTTGGATATTCTGGGTTTTTAGCCTCCAATCTTTTTTCTCTTTGCTTTTTAGTTTGGATGTTTCTATTGTCATCTCCTCAAGCTCAGAGACTCTTTCCTCAACCATGTCCAGTCTATTAATGAACCCATTGAAAGCATTCTTCATTTCTTTTGCAGTGTTTTTGATCTCTTTTATTTTTGTTTCTTTATTAGAATTTCCATCTTTCTGCTTACATTATTCATCTGTTCTTGCATCTTGTCTACTTTTTTCATTAGAGCTGTCAAGATATTGATCATAGTCTTTATACAATTCTGGTCTGATGATTCCAACATTCCTGGCATATCTGAGTCTGGTTCTGACACTTGTTCAGTCTTTTCAAACTGTGTTTTTTTTGCCTTTTAGCATGGCTTGTAATTTTTTTATTGAAAGATAGACATGATGCACTGGGTAAAAGGAACTGTGGTAATTAGGCCTTTACTTGTGTAGTTATAATGTGCGGGGCAAAGCAAGTGTTCTGTAGTCCTATGATGAGGCCTCAGTCTTCTGGTGAACCTGTGCCCCTGAGCTGTGAATGTCACTGGTGCTTCTCAGCGCCCCCACCCCCCACTTAGGTGGAACAGGATGGCTAGAGTGAGCTAGAGTTGGGTATTTCCTTTTCTACAGGTAGGTTGGGCTCTGGTAAAACAGTTTCTCCTGAGGGTAGGCTTTGGTAAGAAGAACAGAATGCTCTAGTGTTTTTCAAAATATTTACTCTTCCTCTTTCTCTGTGGAAGAGTATGCGGACGTATGAGAGAATTTTCACCAATCTTTACTGTGAGTACCTGTTAGAGCTCCTGGAGGTAAAACTCATGACAATGTGGGCCCCACATCCCCTGATGACTGGGTCCCTGGAGTTTCATCTCTAAGGCTTGTCCACACTGAGGCTCTAGCAATTCATCAGTCACAGTTCAGAGTTTCCTGCCCCGGAACTGGTTCCTAAGGAGGTTTCTGCTTGGTGGTTTCTACTCAGGTAAGCTGTGATTCTCTGTGCCCACCTGTCTGTCTCTCCAATTTTGGAGTCAGCAGTTTGCCCTGTGACGTTACTTCTCTGATAAATCTAAGAAGGGTTGTTTTTTTTCAGTTTGCTCAACTTTAACTTATTGTTATCTTGGAGCGGTGACTTCTAAGCTCCTTATGTGTCAAATCAGAACCGGAAGTCTCTCTAGTTCATTTTGAGTCAAAAAAAAGAGAACTATGCAAAAGTAGGAAATGTCGAGGGCAAACTAAATGTGGCAAAAGAAGCCCTAATTCTGAAAACCCACTTTAAGAAGAAAAACACTGAAACAAGAAGGGAAAATCAATGTTGGTCACCCAGGCTTCATTGCTCTTGCTAACACTTGGCTTTTCCTGATATCAGATCTTCTTTCCTCTTCTTTTCCGTTTTTTACAATAAACTATTTTGCCCACAGACTCTCTGTTTCAATTTGTTTTCTATATGCAGCTCCCGAGTTTTGGAGTTTTTCTCAGTTGACACCCACTCCCAGTTAACACACAGTTTCTTCATTTATTTCTCAGACTTTTCACTTTGTTCTTCCTCATTATGAGAAAAAAAGAAAACCTTGAAACAAGTACATATCCTTCCAGTAACCAGGGACCTTCCAGGGTTGGGAAATTGCTATGTCTTAGAGTGAAAGGCTAACAAAACCCCCAATGTAAATATTTTAGTAGTTTGCTAAAGAAAGAACCACAAATACTATGTGGAAGCCAATTTAGAATAAGGTTTAAAGAGCTCAATATAAAAACCTGTTTGGCCTGTTAAAACAGGTGTGGACAATTGCAATTCCCTATTAAAAGATACAATGAAAAATACCTGTAAATTCACGACAAATACGTTGGGGCATGAGAACTCCAAATCAATAGGTTGGAAATTGTAAGCTGCTCCCATTGTGTAAAGCCAAAGAGACCCGAGCCACTATCTGTCAGTTGACAGGGAACTGGAAAATCAATATCTGTCTAGTTTTTCAGATGGAGAATTCTTAGCAGAAGTTTGGGGTTCATTCTTAATTTTTTATAGTAGGAACACTCTTTTTTTTAACAACTCAGTTTCTCTAGTAAAATGATATAGTGCATTGGGAAAAGTGGTCAAAAATTTTTATTTACACGAATATGCTAACACTAGCCTTTAATTTCATGTAGCAAAATGAATTGTTGCAGCAATAATGCTAAATAGTTACTTGGATAAAAAGTTAAGACAGAGGCCGGCCTGGTGGCATAGTGGTTAAGTTTGCACATTCTGCTTCAGTGGCCTGGGGTTTGCTGGTTCAGATCCCTGGTGCGGACCTATGCACCACTTGTCAAGCCATGCTGTGGCAGGCATCCCACATGCAAAGTAGAGGAAGATGGGCACGGATGTTAGCTCAGGGCCAGTCTTCCTCAGCAAAAAAGGAGGATTGGGGGCAGATGTTAGCTCAGGGCTAATCTTCCTCAAAAAGAAAAAAAGTTAAGACAATTTAGAATACATCTTCCATTCATCAAAGTACGGAAAGTACAGATTGATCTTCAAGAATATCCCCGTTGTGGAAATTTTGTTCTGTTGTTTCGATAATGGATGTCCCAAAAGAATATATATGCCAACCACCAAAATGAGCACAGAGCCTCACACAGCAACTTAAATGAATCTCCAAGACATTTTCTCTTTAAGCTGTTGTGAATATTGGAAATTAAGCCTGGAATAGTTTTGGAGTACAAACAACTCTTTAGCTATGTTTTTCCCCATTCACCTTTGACACTGACAGAATAATAGATGGAATGGTCTTTAGTTAGCAGCAATGACAGATATGCTGATAAATGGAACTAAAACGGAATTATATTTTGATTGTCAAGTATTGGCACAAATGCAAAAAAGCCCCCCAAAAAACAAAAGAAACGCAGAAATCTACCTTGCAATTCGTTCCTATGAAAGTAAAGTTGTAGTATACCAACAATTGTAATATTAAAAAATAATCTTTCTCTGTTTTATTAAAAAGAAAAAGATCAACACAGAGAGTAGAATGGTGGCTCCCGGGGACCAGGGGTGGAGAAAATGGGAGGATGGCAGTCAAAGGGTATAAACTCCAAGTTATAAGACAAATAAGTTCTGGGGATCTAATGTGCAGCTTGATGATTATAGTTAGCACGGTGTTATGTACTTGAAAGTTGCTAAGAGGTTAGATCTTATATGTTCTCACCACAAGAAAGAAATGGTAATTATGTGACATGATGGAGGTGTTAGCTAACACTACAGTGGTAATCATTTTGCGATATGTGTGTATTAAATCAACACATTGTGCTCCTTAAAATTCTACAATGTTGTATATCAATTATATCGTAATTAGGCTGGAAAGTAAATTAAATTAAATTACATAGTAAAAAAGTCAGTATATTTGGCCACTGTTGATCGCTTGCTCATCATTTTTGTTAGAATTCTCTAAGCTAGTGAAAACAAGACAGCTTTCAAAACAACCATCTCTCTCCTCCTCTGCCTCTTCACTGGCGGCAGAGACCAGGGGCTTATTAACATTCTAAAGGAAAAGCCACGTAAACAAATTTGTGATCATAGGCAATCCTCTTGTAGTAAGCAATTTTTATGTTTATTTCCTCTTATCTCCCGTTTAGGTCGGATGCTCCAGTGTCCTCCAGGAGGCAGAGCAGGAACCAGAATGTCCTTGCACAGACATGGCTTCCTTCCTCCTTGGGAGCCCACAGCAGGAGCTTGTTCTGTCCCATTCCAGTTTCAAAATAACAGTACAATGCAACCCCAACACTACGATGACTGAAAAATACTTAATTTACTTTTTTCTGTTTTCCCTTGCAGTTCTTTTTATCTTTGGGGTATATTCCACTAGAGAGATGCAGGCAAATTACTGTGCTTTAAAGTCATTTGGAATAATTCCTCTCTGTGCAATTATGCTACCAGCTGGAGACACGTTTAGATTTATTAGTTCTATTTTATTTGTTCTTAGCTGTCTTTTTCCCTGGTTGTCTCCAGTAAACTAGCTGGCCTAGTGGTTTAGCTTGTTGTTGTCATGGAGCCACAAGCCTGCTCTCAATTGCTTACCACCTACCTCTCTGCTGTTTCTGAGAGCATCTTCTGGCTTCAGCTTCCCCCACACTGTTCCAAATAAAAAGTCAATTCCTTTGAAAAGAGTTCTCTGTCCTTATGGTGTGCCTCTCCACCAGGGCAAAATCTCTGAGCCACTGCTCCAGAGCTGGGGGCAAGCACAGTTTCCCACTTCTCTTGGAGTGACACCCATGCATTATAGCAGGGTGTTGGGTGGGGGTAGCAGACTCTAATCTTCTAAGCTTGCCTCTCCTGTCATAGAACTTCCACCTTATGAATGAGCTAGTGTGAGGGTGATTGGGGCCCCAGTGTTCCTGTCCTGCCACCCCTGGGATGAGCCTCTGCCCTGCAATGGGGACTGCGTAGAGGAAGGGAGCCCCGGACCTCTTCGCTGCACTCATCTGGAATCTAGCCTCTGTAACACAGAGCTGCAGAGTGGGAGAATGAGAAATACTGTTGGCATGCACCCCCAGAGACATGCTGTAGCCTTAGACTGTGAACTTGGGGAAAGGGAAGCCCACCTTCTTGGCCACAACCTCCTAGAGTAAAGCTTCTGTCACACGGAGCTAGGGGAGGGGAGAGGGAGCAGATCGTGGCTGAAGTGCTGTGGACTTTTGCTGTTCTTACTAAGATTTACTGTATCTTCTTGAATAGATGTTTCTTCATTTGCTGTATTGCCATTAGGACAATTTCCAGACAGTGTAAATGGTTGTTTGATAATTTTTACCAGTAAAGGTTGTTTGACTAGGGAGTCAGTCCACAGAGCTCCTCGCCTCATTGTTCTGGAAGTTGTTCTCCAGCTTAATATTAATTCCTGTGGTTTTCAGTTTTTTTAATGTTTCACCTCTTTGAATCAACTCTTTCTTTTTTTTCACACTATGTGCCAGATGCTTTGTATATATAATTCTCCTTTTGTTCCTTATACAATCCTTGTGAAGGAGGTTCTAAGAAATGGGAGGCTCAGAGAGGGTACAAGTCTTTCAGAAGTCCCATCTCACTCCTGGATTTTGAGTCATTGGAAAGTTTAGACTAATTTCTAATGAGAGGGAGTTGACCATACACTCAGAGAACTACTTCCTAGTTACAATTTCCTCTTTGGAGAGTCTATGAGCCCTGCTGTACCCTCCCACTGAATCTCAGACTGCAGAAAATCTCAGAAAAATGGAATGCTCAGCGTGGGATAAAACTCATGTTTTCCAGCAATACCAAGATTCAGGCTTGTGGCTCTGTCACTGATTTTTAATACTCTTTGCTAATGTCGACGTGATTCTGTCTAAGGTAGCCCAAAGTCTGGAAAGGTGTACTAACAAAGGGCTTGGATTGACAAATATGAGTAGTTTTTCAGTCGATTTACTGGGATGTTATAGGTTACTGCAGGATTTCTCAGAGCCTTTAACATGCAAAGGTGCATTTTCAACTCTCTAAGAGTGGAGTATCATATACGACGTTTCCCAGTTTATTTGGCCATGCAACCCTATTTTCCTTGTGCCATTTACATTTTGTGTTCTGGGGAAGGTTGGCTGAAAGCATTTACACAGCAAAGAAAGGGCTTGGGAAATCCTTACCATTGGCTGGAGAATATTTGCATATCAACAGTGTTTCCATCTGCCATCCTTTAGGGTCTACTAATGGAAGACAGTACCTACTTTTTGTCTCTTAGAGAGAGAGCTCATGGACAAACTGTTCAGTAGCTGCAAAGGTCTATGAGAGCATATCCAGCTTCCCATTGAGGCCTAATCTGCATTCTTGTCTGGAGAACTCTGGAATAATCCCACAGGTCGCCTGCTGATCCTTGGAAGAAATTCAGAAAAACACTTTGGGACAGGTGGTTAACTTTGCTATGGCAAGATTGCACAGTTTTATTCTCCAGTGCCAGCATGGTGCCTTGTGCATAATACGAGTTTAATAAATACCTGTATAAGTAAATAAATACCTGCATACTTTAAATAAATACTAAATCAGTGCACAATGCAGAGTCAAGCTTGCCAAAAAAAGGCAAGTTAGCTCTGTCCTCACTATTGGGGAGGGTACTTATTGTGAGGAAAGGGAGAATGAAAGAGCCTCTGCTCCTGGATCCCCAGGTGTAGATGCCTGGAGGGTGTGGCCAGGATTGTAGAAAGTGCTAACCCACTCAGAGTTGCTAAGGCTAGTCACTGGAATGACTCTGAAAGTTCTTCCACAAAGATATTAATCAACCTGAAAGAACCAGACGAGTGGTTCTCAGAGTGTGGTTCTGGGGCCCGCAGCATCACGCATCACCTATGAGCTTGTTAGAAATAGAAGCTCATGTTCCCCTCCCCCCAAACTACTGAATTAGAATCACTGGGGTTTTGCCCAGGAAGCTGTTTTAACAAACCCTCCAGATGATTCTTATATCACATTAAAGTTTAAAAAACCCACTGACCTAGACTGTCCTTTTGAGGTCAAAGTAATTGCTATGAACTCAACGTTTGTGTTCCCCCAAAATTCATATGTTGAAACCCTAACTCCATTGTGATGGTATTAGGAGGTAGACCATTTGGGAGGTGATTCGGTCATGAGGGTGGGGCCTTCATGAATGGAATTAGTGCGCTTATAAAACAGATCCCAAAATGCTCTCTGGTCCTTTTCCATGAGGATGCAGTGAGAAGACGGCCACTTCTGAACGAGGAAGCCAGCTCTTACCAGACACCAGACCTGCCCGCACTTTGATTTTTAGACTTCCCAGCCTCCAGAAATGTGAGAAATATCTTCCTATTGTTAAACCACCCAGGCGGTGGCATTTTGTTATAGCAGCCTGAACTGAGATAGTGATAATCATCAGAGCAGTGGTTGTGAAGCCTGGATGAACATTAGGAAAATCTAGAGAACTTGAGAAAACACTGAAACAAGGCCCCATCCCAAACCAATTGAAGAAGAATCTGGGGAGAGTGAAGTTAGGTTATTGATAGCTTAAAAGGCTCCCCAGGTGAGTCTACCGTCAAGACAGCTGAGAATAATTGATCTTATACAATGGGCTTTCAAGGTGCGTTTAAAGAGCCGTGAAACCAGTGGAGCACAGCAGCGGTTTGACCAGGGAGATTGAACCGTGTCAACCAAGGGTAAGAACAGTAGGGTGGTGCCTGGCACCGGTGGGTACTTTAGAGGCACTTATTAAAAAAGTGGTGGTAACATCAAGTGAGAATTCTTAACCAGACGTTCAACACTCTATTGAGTACTATGTACATGTCCTAGGTGCCAGGGGTACAGCAGCCTCGGTCTCAGGGGCCTTACATTCTAGTGATGGAGACAGAAAATAAATAAATGGTTAAACTATGTAATGTAACAGATGGTAATTCAGGAGAAAAGTAAGGCAGAGATTTAGAGGAATTGTTTTACATAACATATTCAGTAAAGTCTTCATTCGTAATGTGATATTTGAGCAGAGACCTGAATGAAGTGAGGAAGTAAGTCACGTGGGCATCTTCAAGAAGAGTATTCAAAGAAAACAGAGGAGCAAAAGCAAAGGCAGAATCCAGCTTGGTATGTTTGAGGAACAGCAAGGAAGCACTGTTGTCCAGATTAGAGAGGGAAATAGAATTATAGGGGTTTGGGGCTGGGGGCAGATGATATGGGCTTCCATAAGACTGCTGGCTTTTACTCCAAGTGATAAGGGAAACGACTGGAGTGTTTTGAGTGAGAAGTGAAGTAACTGGAGTTATATTCTAGCAGTCATTCTGCTACTGTGTTGAGACAAGACTGAAAAAGGTAGAGTGTAAAAACAGTTAGGGGTCTATCGCAATAGTCCTAGTGAGAGACCACAGCAGCTTGGACCAAGGTGGCAACATTGGTATAGCTGAGAGGTGGGTGGATTCTGCATGTATCTTGAAGATAGAAGCAACAGAATTTGATGATGAATTGTATATAGGGTGGGAAAGAAGGAGAAGATTCAAGGATGATGCTAAACCTTTTGGTCTGAGAAGTTTTAAGTTGAAATTATTTGCTGTGATTGGGAAGACTGAAGGAGAAGCTGGTTAAGGTGGGGCAGGATTCGGGACGAGTTGTAGACATGTTAAGTTTGAGACATACAAGAAGAATAAATAAGCTGTTGAATGTAATATGTTTGAAGTTCAGGAGAAAGGCCCAGAATGGTCCAGAAATACAGAAGTCATCAAACAGATTGCATTTCATGCTGAGAGTGAACTAAATCCTTGCTACCTGCAGTACTAACATCGCCTTGGAGCTCGTTAGAAATGCGGACTCTCAGACCCTACCCCAGAATTATTGAATCAGTATTGGCATTTTCTCATGATCCCCAAGTGATCTGGAGGCACTTTAAACTTTGAGGATGCTTTCAGATGAGATGACCTAGAGTCGGAATGAATACAGGAAAGAAGGATTGAGGCCTTGAGACAATCTAACTTTGGAGGCCATGGAAAAGAGATGGAGACTGAGATGAGATGACATAGGGGAGGAGAAATTCGGAGAGAATAGTGTTCAAATCCAAGTTTCAAGAAAGAGTGGTCAGTTTAGTCAAATGTTGTAGGTCAACTAAGACGAGGAATGAGAATGGACCACTGGATTTAGCATTCTGAATGCCATTGGTGACATCAATAAGGGCGTTTTTTTTCTTTTGTTCTTTTTTTTTTACGAAGACTAGCCCTGAGGTAACATCTGCCAATCCTCCTCTTTTTGCTGAGGAAGACTGGCCCTGAGCTAACATGCATGCCCATCTTCCTCTACTTTATACATGGGACGCCTACCACAGCATAGCTTGCCAAGCGGTGGCATGTCCGTACTCGGGATTTACACCCGCGAACGCTGAACGCCGGGCTGCCAAAGCGGAACATGCGCACTTAACCACGGTGCCACCAGGCCGGCCCCCCCATAAAGGCATTTTTGTAGGATTCAAGAGACTGGGAAGAGAGAAATTAGGGGCGGTAAGTATAGACTTTTATGAGTTTTGCTTAAAGCAAAGGACAGAAATGATTGGTAAGTGGATGGGAAACTGAAGTGAAGTTTTTCGTCTGTTTTTAAGATGAGAGAAATAATATCCTGTTGGTATATTGGAGAGAGCGATAGTTAACTAAGGGAAGAGGGAGTTGATGGAGCTGGGGGGAGAGTTG